GCTATTGATAAAACCGTACTTCCGCAGGTTCGCGGTGGTCACTAGCTTCCTCGCGTCTCGGCTTTCCTCGGGAAGCACTCCAAAAGATACAAGTCTGTCCTAGTCGTCGAGCAAGTCTTGGCTGGTCGTTCTATTAACTGCAAAAGAAGAAACAGGTCGTTATCATAAAGCATGCGAACAGATAATATACCTAACAAAGAAGAACCTACTTGGCGTCTGAAAGTGGCAGTAGCCGTCATAGCAGAAAAAGAAGAATTTGGTCTCGTAGGCTCCCGCGTTGCTGGGATAGCTATGTACCCCCTCGGCAATGGTAGGTCGCCGGGACAAGTAATACGAATCCTTGTCCCTACTCTTTTTAAGATAATAGGTGAAGCCGAGCTCCACCGCCGTTGGCTCGCCCAAGCCGCTCTCGTAGCACGCGATGTACATTGCGATGGCGATGACATACACGTTCGGTGTGAGCTGCATCGGTGCGATCCCGAAGTGATCCAGGACCGACCTGATGAAAGGATGGAAGGGAATCATCCCTCCACCCTTGAAGATCTCTTCGAAGATCGCAGCAAGACCGTCGGTAGGATGTCGCGACGACCTGGTGTGGTCGAGGAACACCTCTGCTCGGACGTTATACTGTCTTTTAATCCTATCAAATTCTTCTCGGGTGAGAACCGAGAAGACGTCAAGGGACGCGTCCATGGGAACTTCCCGCGTGGACGAGCTAGTTCCTTCCTCAGGTCTGGATGTCGACGGTTCCATTCCAGAGTCTGCAACATCGACAGACACGATCATTTTAATCTTCGTATTTTGTCCCGTGTGACGACATGGGACAAAATCCTTAAGCCCTAACAGTGACCCGAGCCGCCACCCACGGCTCGAGTCCGGCAACAATGGCGCGTCTCTGGTGGGACACTAGGGGACCCAACGCCGTTGCCTACCAACCAAACAAACAAAAAAAAAGAAAGAGAAAGAAAAGAGAGAAGAGGGGATTTTACCTTCTGGGATGAGTAGCTAAGACCGAATCTTGTTTTAGACGTCTGAGAAGCGCCGATCGAAAAAGAATCACCTCCGGTTTGCAAAGACTTATCACTTGAAGCAAAAGGGGTTTTAGCGGCTTCATCCGGAAAAACGTGAGTTCTTATATGGGCAACGAACCGACGGTTGCAACCCCTCGGAACCGAAGCGACAACCTTCTCTCTCCTCTCCGCATTTAATGCGCCCCACGTCGCATTAAATGCCATAATAAGGGCTGACGTTTCAAATGCGTTATGCAGTCAAAAGCTGTCAATACGACGTCGAGTCAGCACACCATGCATTTGATGTACCTGACACATTACAGCGCAAGCAGAGTGCCCTACAGCGCGAATGCAGGTTCATTGAATCTCTCCACAGCATAGAAAGGAACGTCCGACGAATCCAGGTCGCTAGAATGATGGTCATCAGGTCGTTTGGACAAGGGTGGCTCGAGGTCGTGCTCGCAAAGGATTCTGCACCGAGCTTCTTCCATTCAGGTCGAAACGACCAAAACCTATCACAGCACGACTTAGTTTCTAAGGTTCGATCCTCAAACCTTAAAAACTAGGGGATTTCTGTTATGCCCGGGAAATAAAGAGTTGACGTGGGATCGCGTGACGAGACGTGGCTTGCTCCTGTTAGAATGATAAGCGCACGTCAGGCCTGCCATGCACCCTGGAGCTCCCACGTGTCCGCTTACCTGCTCCAAATCGCGTAAAATCTGCTGGGGAAGTGGGTAATGGGACGTAAAGCCTGGTTATGTTCTGACATTCACACCAACCCAAGGATTTAATGATGATTACACGCATTCAGCTTGGTATAAGAAGAAGACGACCCTTTCATTAAGGGGATTCGATCATTTTGACATTTACTCTACTCTCTCTCTCTCTCTCAAAAAGGGCTCTGTATTTTTACTTTTCAATCATTTGTAAGTAAGTCCGTTTTAGCGACCTGACCCACCATATTAATACAAATCAGTGGATGTAGGATTTGCTACCTTAGCATCCGAACCACTTTAAAAGCTCTTATTGCATTTATTTCCTTTTTACTCACAATCACGTGTGCTTCTTGGTCAGTCAACGCTGCACATGTGTCGATTAGTTGGTGCTCAAAATCACGCATCAACATTTTTTTTTTCAAATCAGCCAAGTATGAGTGACTCAAATGCTAGTTCAAGAATGGGTTCCAAGAACAACAATGTCATGTTTAATGGAAGTTTGTGAAATTTGAAAATAGGATTCCAAAATGCAAGGTGTTTCATGCACTTATCACGCATATGTCAAGTGATGTACAATACAACGCAATATGTACTGTTTGAATCTTGATTATCAAACATAGTCATCTTCAACCTTTGAATAACAAATTGTACGATAAACACGAAAAAAGAACTTATTTACCTTTGTACTAACAACCAATGACAAAATGATGACATCTAAACAAAATTTCTAGCTATTATAGGCTAAGATACAACATTTAAAATATTACCCATACTTAAAACTTAAAAACATGAAAATTAAATTTTCTTGGACTTTGTAAATCACCTGTCTCTTGGATGCCTTACAACAGATCAATGGATCACTAAATGAGCAAAACAATACCCTAACCATGACATTGTTTGCATTTGAGAATTTTCATATATATATAAACGTCTTGAAATTTTTAATGTATAGATCAATTGTAAGTGCTTAAACATCACTTTTAAATATAGAGTTTATGAAGTAAATGTTTAAACTCTAACAGTTGATCTGCATGTTAAAAATATTTAGAAGTACTTATTAAAGAATGACAATATATATAATTATTCATCATTGAGGTGCGTAATTGAAAGCATAAATGTATGCGCAATTATTCTAATGGTAGGACTTTCCGCAACAATCAACAATATATGTAAGAAAATATCAATTAATTAATTTGTTTTTGTGCACAAGTAATGTTACAACTCCATTCATATTCAAAGTTACCTAGTTTAAAATTTTACTCTCCATGCCAACTATGATGTCGCCATTGCCAGATGAAGCCATTAGCGGAACCAAGATTAAACATGAGGAGGGGAAAATATTAAAAATTAATTATAATTTAAAATTTTCATAGAGCAATAAAATGTTCCATTTGATTCACTATTCTAATGCTTTTTAGAATAGTTTTTTGGAAAAAATAAAATATGATTATCTTTACGAGAAAGGTAATTACTAATATTTTGAGAGTTGAATAAAGTAAAATTAGATTTTGAGAATATTAAAACAAATGCATTTTTAAGTTCTTAAGATAGAATAATGGAATAAGATAGAATAATAATAGTGAACCAAAGAGGCTATTAGGGATTTAATATTTATTAATAATGAGTTTATTCAATACAATTCTCTATGACATGTTTCCATCTTTTAAAAGCAATATAATAACATTATTGTAAATACTACTAATACATTAATTGATGATTTAATATACAAAAGTAAACAAAACACACAAATAATAATAATAATAATAATAGTAATAATACGTATAAAAAAAATTGCATACTTAACTTTGATCGTGATAATGTGTTTCTTTTATGTGTATTTTTATTTATTTGTAGGAGTAAAACCTAATTTATTTATATTTGAAAAAAATATGAACTTTATAAATTTTTAAAAGTTTTGGTTTTATTTAATTTTGTTTAAATATATTGGTTTCCTATTTTTTTTTTTTTTATTTAGTTGGTTTTCTTAATTTTTATTGAAATTATTTTTGGTTTTTAATATTTAATTTTTATAGAAATCTTAGTTTCTTTTAAAATAATATTTTTTTATATAAATATTAGTAGATGTGTATTTATGTCTTTTAGTGTTTTTCCATTAAATTTAATAGTAATTAATACGATTTTATCCTTCCTTTTTTTTTTTTTAACCCATTTTGAAGCTCCTATCATATTTCTTAAGGGTTCAAAAAATATTGTGTATTAATTGATAATATATATATATATATTGGTTTATTTTCACTGACTAGATATTGTTTTATTTTTTAATTAAAAAATACTCTTATATTGTCACTCATAGTTTGAATTATTTTTTAAGTACTTACAATAATCTTCATTGACATTTAATTAGTCTATACCTACACCCCTCTCTATTATCATAAATTAGTTGTGAGACTTTTGGAATTTGGTAATTTGTTGCGGCTAATAAATCATAAATTTGTAAAACTTGCCTCAAGTTAAGAACATCACGGTTTTGCATTAAATGATGTATAAAAAGGGAATTGTGATAAAACAGAAAAGTTAGGTAAAGAACTCTCCAAAAGTGGTCCATGCTCTAAATGCCCACTTCACAAATTGCTCTTGTCATCATGCCATGACCACTGGTCAACACATTCTTCTAGATCCTTTCAAACCAACAACTATTTTTTCTATTTCATTAATCATTTCTTTTAATATAATTTCTTAAATTTTTAATTTATTAGATCTAAAGTGAGGCAATAAATCAAAATCTGGTTTTACATTAGTATACCCAACAAATATAAATAGTATGTACAGCACAGATGAAATTATTGCTAATTCCATATTTGGGAGAATTTCAACTGTAATTATTACACACCCTCAAATTAAATCTAAACGATTTTGGGAATTAGTTTGAGATTTTTTAGAGTTATTTACACTTTCATCCTTAAGGAATAGAGGATATATGCTGTGCTAAAAAAATATTATTTTTTGATATCAGCTATTACCATTATGAAAAATTGATTTTTTTTTAGGTGTATAGTATACTTTTTGTTTTGTTACATATGTGCTAAAACTATTTTTTGAGATAAAAATTATTACAAAAAAAGAGTTAACATACTTTAGGTGGGCACGAAATAACCACTGTCTGAAAAACCAAAACCCCTTTCTACACCATCCAAAAACAAGATAAAACTTGGCACATTGGATACATGACACGTATGGTGCACCGACTACTGTGCCCACATGACAACTTTCTCTCTATACCCTTTTTGAAAGAAGGGACACTCACGCACTCTCTCTCTCTCTCTCTCTCTCTCATTTATTTATTTCAACGTCTTCTCTGACGATCCCACCCACATTCTCATTCACACACTCTCTCTCTCTCTCAAATCAACAACAGCACAGCATGGCATCCAAACTTGCTTTCTTGTTGATTCTCTCAATCTACGCCGTCAATTATGGTGATTCTGCCCATCACGCGGCGGCCCCAGCACCGGCCGTCGACTGCACGAGTCTGATATTGGACATGGCGGATTGTCTCTCATTTGTTTCATCGGGAAGTACGGTGTCAAAACCGGCAGCGACATGCTGTTCTGGACTTAAAACAGTGTTGAAGACTGATGCAGAGTGCCTTTGTGAAGGGTTTAAGAATAGTGCCTCTTTTGGTGTTACTCTGAATGTCACAAAGGCCCTCACTCTCCCTGCTGCTTGCAAACTCTCTGCCCCCCCTGCCACCAACTGTAATTGTGAGTGCTCTTTTCGTTTTCCTCTTTATGAAAAATGCTCAGTCTCTGATTTTAACTTTTTATTTTTGGTATGTTTTGTTTTGCAGTGTCTCTTTCTCCCGCTGGTGTACCTGGTATGTTCTGCTCTGCATTTTCTTTATGTTATTTATTTTTAATTTAAAGGATATATTGGAGACGAGTCTGTTAAGTGTTTTGTCTGATTTGTTTAATAATTTTATATAAGTATAAATGGGATAAGATTATGTCCATATGTTAATCATAATCTTTTGAATTATTGAGGTAGAAATTAAGTAAGGGTGGCTTTAATGTCTATTCTAATTTATCAATGCAAGTAGTATTTCCCTTTTATTGTTTGAATTATTTTTGATGTTAATAATATTATTGCAGGTGAGTCTCCAAGTGGTGCAGCTGCTGCTTCACCCGCAACGAATGCAGGAGAAAATGAGCAAGCCCCAGCACCATCTCCAGGGGTCTCAGCTTCTTCAATGCTCACCTTTTCACTTGGATCCTTGATGACAGGCTTAGCTTTTGCATTGTTTTGCAGTTTTTGGGGTTGAGGAATCATTACTATATTACTATTATCATTATCATGTGACTGGACAATTATGACATGCTGTTATTTTGTTACTTTCCTTTTGCTTTTGTTATGTGGCTAAAGTAGATATGAATCATTTTGTCATGCTTCACTTGAACCTTTTTATGTTTTGATTTGATATCTGATGAACTTGAGATCGTTTAAATCTATATGTTGAAAGCCTAAAATTATTAATTTATATTATTATCATGAAATTAGGAAACATAATAATGTTTGTTTGTTTACTATATACTAAGAAATGGTGAGCATTAATTGATGGGCTCAAACCAGTAAAATTATGTTATTGTATTAGAAATGGGATGAGATTTTTACTTTAAAAATTATTGACTGAGACTTTTTACACAAATTTTTATCCGTTATTCAATGGTATTGGAGTTAATACACATTCTTATTGAATTGTAACATATATAATTAGGAATTTGTGTATAAAATAAGTCAAGAAAGATCTCATCTCAAAATAAATTAGCAAGTAGAAAGGGTTCAATTCAGTTCAATGAAGCTCACCAACACCAATGGATGTGGAAGAATTACTCTAATTAATTCAGGCCTGAGAGAGACAAATAAAACTTAGCCACCCGCGAGCCAAAAATATTGACTTGGATTCCTCACAAGCCAATGATATTTATATGAAAGAAAGTATGTAATATAAATTTAATAGAAAAAAGCCAGTACAAAATTAATAATATTACACACATAGATTTTTATTTTTGGGTAAATGTGTAAGGTTTTATTGCAATAAACAAGTAGCGAGAACAACTTAAAAATTTCGCAAAACCTAAAACCCCATGAATTTGGGTAGTGAATATTTCATTTACATGCATAAACTGCAATTAAAACCATTCAAGAATTCGTTTACACCTTCGTTTGTAGGCTCCTTCAAAGAAGTGTCTTTGAATCCATGGCAAGTCAATCCAAGAATAGGATTGTACACTTTAGTATCCACATGAAGATAGGATCACTCACAATTAATTGTTTGCTAGAAGAAGATTAATTGTTTAAAGGTTGAAAGATCGAATGAATGAAATTGAGAGAATTTTCTCAATTCCTTTTGCAAGGGGCCACACTCAACTATTAGGGTTATTAAATCCTAAATTACTTCATGTTTATAAAGCATGAATAATCCTATTCCATTTTTGGAATAGGATTAACCCTATTCCTATTTGGAATAGTTAGTTTATAATTTAATTAATTCCTATTCCACCATGGAATAGACTTATCTTGGTATTTAATTAATTCCTATTCCAAATTAGAATATAATTAATTTGGCATTTAATCAATTAATTATAACCTATATATATTTATTTATTTATTTATAAATATATAATTTAGCAAATTAAATTCCAATAAAAATATTGAGATTACGCAACAATCCCAACAAATTTAATTGCATAGCAAAATTACCCAAATACCCTTTTGCCATAAAAAGACGAAATTGTTCTCATTCATTACAACCTTAAATTGTCCTCTAAGTGTATGACCCATGGGCTCCCCACAATATTGATAGTAAGTAGTATCGTGATTAACCACCAATTAATTGTCTCACTATAAACAAACCAAGATTGACTTATAGCAAGACATCATGGTTACCTAACATATAGGGATTAGTGAAGAACTGATATCTATCAACAGTATGATTACCATGCCATTCAATCATTTCATCAAATATTATCCCGTCGATGTTTGAAGTACAGAAATAGTGTCAACATCAAATATATTACCTTGATCTATTGGCATTCGGTTATCAAACCAACGACCCAATTGGATTTGAGCTACAATTCAATTCCATTGTGGCCATAAATTTATAATCGTTGTAATTAATCGAACTGCAACATGAGATAACATCTTCCACACCCAAGAGTGATGAATCATTTGTTGATCACCATAGCCATAGTGTACTACTTAATGTAGCCAATTACCATTGTACTGATAATCCTAAATAGGACTACGTTAGGTCCCCCACACTAACTTTTGCTCTCCTCAGGCAAAACTCAAATTCACTTTCCAAAAACACACAAAAAAAAAAAAAAAAAAAAAAAAAACAAAACAACGGTTGCAACGCCATCAATAAAGAATAATCAAGCTCTTCAAAACTCATAACATATAATGAACATACATTCTTAACAACTTCCAATTGCTCAGTAAGCATTTTCACTCGAAGATGGAGTAAACTAAATACGTAGACCCTCATGGAAATAAACAATCAACTCTCATGTGTTTGAAGGGTATGTGTTTCGCTCAAGTCATTCCAATGGAAAACATCTACCATAGGCTTGCATATCTTCTCATTCTCCACCACTGATCACATGCATACCACAATTCATAGGGCTTTTCAAGGTTTTAATGGGGTTTAGATCAAGGTGGGATTGTAACGCCCACTTGAGGTATGTAGTTCAATTGTGTTGTATTGCTTGAATGTTTATTGATTTGTTCTCATTGAGCTTGCATGTTTGTGATTTCCATTGGTTGGCCCCAGTTGGATTGATGAGTTGATTTGGTTAACTGTTTGCCCTGATTTTGGTTGAGACTTGGTGAATTTTTGAAATTCAGTCTTCGCCGCGACGACGTTGGCTTGAGAGTTGTGAGTCGTTTCTGTAAGTTTTCGCCAGGGCGATAGGAAGTTTCGCCGCGCGCGACGGGTCAGTTGAAAAATTTTAATAAGTTCTAGAGAATTCTTTCTTTGGGCACAATGACCTTTCTACCTTTAATTAGCAGGAAAGTGGGGAGTAAAATGTAAGAGAATTTTATGAAGAATATGCTAAGTGGGCGTTTGATTGTAATGATTTAAATACAATATGGAATTCCCAAGGAAGAGCAAGGGTAAAATGGGAATGAATGAAGATATTTGAGCTAAAAAGGGGTTAAGTTAGTAAACCCTTCATTCACTCTTCTTCCACCGCCTCTTCCAGTCTCCATTTCCTCTCAATTCTTCCTCAAGCTTTCAAGGATTTTTGAGGGTTTTTAGTTGGATCTCGGTAGAGAATTGATCTAGGCATCCTAAGGTAAGAATCCTTGCTAGATGTGAAATTTACCTATAAAGATGTTGAGGTCTTAATGTGTTATGGTTTAAAGGTGTAGAGAAAAGACTCTACCAAAGGAAAAGAGAAGTGTTACTGGAATCACACCATCACAAGGTAAGTAAATCCCAATCCAATTGATATTTGAGAAATCCTTTGAGTAGTGATTTATTTATGCATGATATATGTTTTGTTATGAGAACTTGTGTTGAGATGAGTAGTTATTTTGTGGTTGTTAAATACACTTCAATTGAGAAGTGCGATGTGTGAGGAGAATGTAGTTTTGTGATGATTGGAGGAGATGGAGAAATCTTTTTGGAAGTGTTAAGTTATGGCAAGGATTATAGCTTGGTGAGGGATTTTCTCCATTTTGGATGGTTCAAGAGAGGGATAGACTTATAAATAAAGTGGAGTGTAAGTATGCACACTAGTTGTTTGATGAAATGCCTAAGAGAAGTATGAGCATGAGTTGTGAACCTTAATTTTTGCAACATTGCATATTGGCATTTCCTAAGTGCATTAATGAACATGAACCATCCATATGCATTAATTGTGCATTTGAGAAGTAGTTTGAGAAAGAGTAGAGAACTGTGTGAATGAACTACTCTAAGAGTAGAGAGAATGAGAAGAGCACTAAGAATGGGTTGGTGCTTTGTGATCTCCACCCGATAGTTATGAAAACGGATTGGTGCTTTGTGATCTCCACCCGATAGTTATGAAAAAGGGTTGGTGTTTTGTGATCTCTACCAGAAAGTCATGAAGAGTGGATTGGTGCTGTGTGAACTCCACCTGGCCGTGCCTCCGATAAGATGAGGCCGTGACATTGAACAGAAGTTAAGAGAGCTATGTGAAAGAGAAAATAAATGCGATGAGAAAGAGTGTAAGGAAAGAATTAAGAGAAAGGATTACGGGGATAGTCGAGTAGAGGGTTTACTTACTGACCATTGTTTTGTGCTCACCCCGTTGTTTTCTTTGTGGTTGCAGGATCTAGGTGAGAATGCAGTCGGTTGGGTGTCGGCAATCGAGGAGTAATAGCTACACTGTCCACTGTTTTAATATCATTTTATAAAGGATATTCTGTTTTGTATAAATAATGTTTATTTGTAATAAAAGAAAATTTTGGGGTCCATTTACTTTTGCTAATGTACATATATTCTACTTAATATATTTTCCTAAGTATCCTAGTATAAAGCAGTCACTATAGAAATATTTTGGAGTGTAGCTCAAAAGCCATCAAAACTAGTGGAGCAAAAATGAATCAACTCAAGCTCGAATATATAAAACATGTAAAACCAATCACTCCCTTTAGCAGCTTCTTCCTTGTATATATCCCGTATAAACATACCCCTTTACTGAAATTTCAAGAGAAATTATGAACATGGATAGTTTGTAATATCAAAAGAAATTTCCTCCACCACTTCCTTTCTTCTTCTTTTTTTTTTTTTTTTTTTTTTTTTTTTTTGTTTTTGTTTTTGTTTTTTGTTTTGTTTTGTTTTTGTTTTAGATTACTGGAATTCAAGAATTGAGAATAATAACATATTCCAATTCACCAGCCATAGCCATACCACAAATCCAAACACCCCTCATACTTATTTCTTGCACACCATACATGTCATAATGATGAACAATGCTCCACTAGCTCTACGGCTTGGGTAAAGACATTTTTTTTTTTTTTGGTTTAAAGCTTGTAACGTGGGTTCACAATAAAGCTCAAAGGGATTCAACAAAGGGAAAAATTAACAAGGTAGGCTATTTGGCTTATGTAGCTTATAACAAAGAGAGCCTTAATCATTTTCTTGCATGCATGTGTCCATATGACCTCGAAGAGAATCAAGGCAAGTTCTAGAGAAATAAATCCATGGAAGAATATCTCACATGAAAGAAAATAGTGAGACTGATATGGATGTGTCAGTCTAAAGGCTCAAAATCTCACCGGCTTTTGTCTACCAACTTTAGTAACTACCATTCTCAAGGAAAATAATTAGACTAATTAAGTCTAAGTTGGAAGATTACTTATTCAATCATGTTATGAATTTTTCAAGTTTAATTGAATCTTGCTCATGACGTACACAACCCAAAAATCATTGAAAACCACAAAAACAAAAAGCAAAACTCTTTTTTTTTCTTTTTTTTTT